TTTTTTTTTTTTTGTAGAATGTTGTATGTTTTTTTTTGTGTTTTTTGTTTTTTTTTTCCCGTTCTGCACTACCGGTTGTCCGAGGCTCGACAATAAAGTCTGAGGCTCGGGAATGACCGGGCTACCGGTAGACTGAGCCGCGCGCCTTGACAACCGGTAGGTACTGGTGGTTTAAAACAGAAGAAGGAAGACTACGTGGATTTGGGAAATAAAACGTACAAACTCACTTTCCTCCCATGGATGACCCTAGCTGAAAGATTTTAAGGAAGCTGAGTCCAAATTTTTCTGGATCCGTTGCCCTCTTGTGCCTATTCAGTTGCTTGCAATTCTTCAGACGTTGGTCGAAAAATCCTTTGGGGCAGTTCTAAGAGCCCACTCCTTCGAGGAGTATGAAGATGAACCTGAACTGGGCATGGTACGGTTTGACCTCGAACTTGAGGCTCGGAAGGCCGTGAAATCGAGGTTATTGGTGGGAATTCCTGGCCAAGGGGATTATCACTTCGAGGTTATTTCAGTGGCGACACCATGGTGTTCGACTTGCCGCGTGAGTTACCATACGGAAAAGGACGAATGTTGTCCTGCTTTCGAAGACCCTGACCCCCTCGTGGCTCAAATGAAGCAGAACCCCCTTCTTAGGCTTTGTGTCGCATGGGGAGGACCCTCCTCTGACAGGTTTCAGGCGATTCCCTGACCGACGACAGTCAGGGAACCCAAGGAATAACAGTGGTCTGAAAAGACAACAATCACGGGCAAAGTCAAAAGGGAGGTTAAAATCAAGATCGCGATCTCATCATGGGTCGGGCGGTTCGGGTAAGTCTCCAATGAGAGATAAAGGGAGTTCGAGTAGGGTCAAGGAAAAGGGGGATTCACCAAAATCACGGTCAGGGATTCACTCAGAACCGAATTCCAACACAGGTTTGGAGAAAGACGACGAAGGACTTATGAATACCAAAAGAAACGCAGAGAATGGAGAAGGGGATGGAGGGGGAAACAACTCAACTATGGGAGAGACAGGTCGTAATGTGTTAGTACAGGTGGTGAAAGCGGTTATTGGTAAGGATAAAGGAAAGAGGAATGAACACTCCCCCTTCAAGCGATCGAGGACCCGATCCCTGGACCGTAATGATGCCGGAATTAGGATCGAACGCAACAGTTTTGCATCCGGTTCAGAAATAGGCACGGACTCCGAAAATCGGAAAGCAAGTCACCACGTTGTACCCAAAGAGATGGAACCCCACATTACTCTGGGAAGGGGGGACAAGGACATTCCCAAAGTGTTGGTACCCATTCTGTGTGCTAAATCAGATAAGGGCATAGTTGTTTTGGCCTCACAAACGAATGATGGTTGTCTGGAAATGGCCACTTCAGACGCGAACGTATCTCTTACAGAAAATGTGATTGTGAAAAACGTGTCTAAGTATTATTCCGGAAGGACTGAAAATCCGCATAATCCCCCAAACTCGGGTTGAAGGACAAAACGTGGAAAACACGAAAGGGGAGAACTTCAAGATGCGAATCTATTATGTCCTAATGGAAATCCAAATGATGGACGAGACAAATGACATCATTGCAGGGCAAAACAGAAGTTGGTTCCCCTTACTGACTCTGTCGTCTCCATTGAATCCAGAGTTACAAGGTATTAGGGTCATACCAGGAGTGTCAGTCGCTGTTATAGCGGACTGGCTCTCCACTTCATCCCAGCTGATCTCAATTACAAACGTTAATTCAGGAGCCATGGGAGAATGCCTCACAACGGGAGGAACCCAGAAGGAGGAAACAGTCTCAGGGGGGATAAGGAAGCCGCATCCAGGTACCAGACCACAATGTTACTGGTTATGCCTCTTAGAGGCAAGCCGAAACTCGCCTCATGGAACGTAAGGGGTCTTTGTGACACTAATTATAAACAAAAACGCAGCCGTTTAAAATCCTGGATTCATGAGAAAAAAATTCAGGTGGTCTGTTTACAAGAAACCAAATTAGATGAAAGGCGTTGTAGAGAAGATGAGAATTGGTGGGCCGGCCAACAGTTTTGGTCACCGGCTCAAGGTACAAAAGGTGGGACTACTACTATACTTATCCATAGGGAAGTAGATGCTGTAATCTTGAACTCAGCTGTTGACCTGTGGGGACGTTGGGTGTGGGTGAAGTTTGAAGTGGGTTCTAGAGATTGGTCAGTAATGTCGATCTATGTTCCGATAGACAATAACGAAAGGTTGAAATTTTTAGCCGAACTACCAGGAATTATTCCGAATTCTGATAACCTGATTATCATTGCGGACTGGAATACCATACTGAACCCGGGCTTGGACAACCCGAAAGTGGGCCCCATCAGATCAGATAGTAGGCTACTACAAAGTTTCATGGTTGCTAATAACATGGTGGATGCTTACAAAATTCTGAATCCGAACGCACAAGAATATACGTTGTTTGGGTCTAAGACGCCACCAACCCGAAAAAGGTTGAATTTTATTCTGATGAAAGGTCATCCGTGGTAGGAATGTACCTCTGTAGAAATCACATGGTCAGATATATCTGATCGCAGACCTGTAGTAGCTTAATTCACATCTGTGAGGCCCCCGAAAATGAAGTTTTCCTATTACAAATTGAATGTCTCCCTGTTGAAAGATCCGAGAGTAATATTATAGGCACAACGTTAGTCAGCCTTGTGGATGGAGGCTAGAGAGTGGTTTAGCTCACAACAAGACTGGGTGGAGGTGGGTATCCAAATTCTGCAACGGGCTTTTAATGTATTATCATAAATAAAGGCACAATCAAAGAGAAATGAAGAAAAAACTATTATAAAAAGGATTAAAGAGGCGGAAGCCAGTTTTGGGCAAGATGACGTATCTTATGCCTATTAGACAATTGTGAGAAGAAGAAGTCTGGCTAAATTGGAACAGATGCACATTGAATTTCATGACCAAATGGCTTGATAAAAAAAATATTATTACTGGAGATAGACTAACGAGGGAAACCTTCAGACGTTTAATCTTACAAAAAAACTCACCCACCAATGAAAGAACTCTCACACCCTTTTTCAACCCAACTTCTGATCTCCAATGATTTACAACAGATGCGCGAGTATGCCAGACTGTACTTCGAAGATATCCTTACCACTCGTCGTTCATATGATGATATGGATATAGACCCGAAAATCACAAGTACCTTTTGGAAACCGTTCTAAAAAAATGTTGCCCCACATACCCGACTTGATTTAGACAGACCATTAACTTTGGAAGAGCAACTGGTAGCTGCCAAAAGGATGGCAAAAGGGAAATGTCCGGGGGAAGATGGCCTACCAATTGAAGTCTATCTAGTGTTATGACCTCAGTTGGGTCCCATGTTGCTCAGTGTCTTTAACCAAGTTCTACCAGGGGGAAAATTGACAAAAAACATGTCTAAAGGAATCATATCTTTGTTATATAAGAAGGGTGATAAGAAAGAGATTCATAATTGCCGACAAATTTCACTGTTGAATGCCTCTTATAAGCTGTTAATCAATGCCCTATCAATACGTCTAGCCAGGTTTACCAGACCTTATTGGAAATGAACAATGAGCATTTGTAAAACATAGGAGTATCATAGACAACATAGCTTCAACTATCCAGGCTCTGAAAATCATCACCAAGGACAACGTTGACGTGGCAGTCTTTCTACTTGACATGGAAAAAGCGTACGACCACGTGGGTTGAGCCTTCGTGATGACCACCCTGAAGCACATGGGGTTTGGGCTCCCGTTCTGTCAATGGATTAAAACGATGTACTTGGGGTCCGTAGCTACAGTAATGGTAAACGGTAAACAATCAAATTAATTCACCCTCACTCGTTCCTTAAGACAAGGCTGCCCTTTAGCCCCGCTGTTGTTTGTAATTCATTTGGAAATTTTATTGGACAATATTCGTTTGAATTCAGAAATTCAGGGGTTAAAACTGAGTACGAGACTTCAATGGAGAGGTGAGACTCTTGTCAACGACTTAACTATTGCTTGCAAAAACAAAAAGGAGCAACTAAGAACCTTAAGAAGAGTATTAAACGACTATTGTGATCTATCTGAGGCCTCTATTAATTGGAATAAGTCAACCTACTTTTTACCACCCTCTTACAATTTGGGAGTGAATTGGGGATTGAAAGTTGTTCCTGCGGATGCTTTAGAATGATTATTGGGAGCGCAAGCCTCACCATCAGATAACTCTAACTATCAAGATGCCATTTTGGTTGAGAAATATTGCAGCAGAATCCTGAGTTGGAAGCAAACAAGACATTTGACAATGTCCCTATTAGGACGAGCTTTAGTTATAACTACAGCGGCAGACTCGATGCTTTGGTTCATATTGGCGGTTCACTACTTGGGGGACCAAGCGTACCAAAAGATAATGCAAACGAAGGGTCGGTTTATTTGGAAACCAGAGGCACTAGAGCATGAAGGCTACATGTCGAAGGTTGCCTGAGAGACTATAACCTTCCCTAGATATCAGGGGGGGCTTGAAGTTCTCGATCCCAGAGAACAGAATCAAGCTTTGCTGACAAAATGGCCAATCTTACCTCCCCCAAAAATGAACCTTGGCTAGCGCTGGGGCTGCAAATTTTTAGTGAGGAATGGGGCCAGGAGGATGCCCTGGCTTTCTTGATGATACCGTCATATGTGAATAAACAATTGAAGTCAAAGTTTTGGGGTGATATTATGAAAGCATGGAAGGGGGAAACAATATCTATGTTATTAGAAATTCTGACGGAGAGGGAAACACATATTCTGACCGAGAAGGAACATCCAACTTCAAGGGACTCTGTGATATTAGAAATTCTGTTTGAAAATCCTCACATAAAAGAAGGGGGAAACAATATTTTTCTAGCAAATGGATTTGTGGGTCACTTTGGTAAAAGTTGGATAGAGAAGGGAGTAGTAAGGGTGAGGGATATTTGAGATGAGAATAAGCTGGATTGAATAGACGTGGCTGGGATGAAACAGAAACTGTCAAGAATGCGAGGCACTCATAAAAAAATACTAAAATTGACAGAAGCCATTCCTGATAGTTGGAAGAGAATCATGCGTACAAATTCTATACCTGCCGAGGGTTTATGGGTGAGGAAGTTGAATGAAATGGAGGCTTATGGCATTTTGCATGTTACATGCCCTACTTTGGATGAAGGTTTTGATGGGTGCAAGTGACATAAGTCTGCAGATTTTTCCTTCACTAATGATATATACCAAGGTAACTAGGAAAAACTGGATTGTGTGGCACATTTGCAAGAAGTTCTGGTTACGTCACCTATAGCTAGCAGAAAGGATTCCTTGATCCCAGTGAAGTGGAAACTGATGGCGCAAGGGCAATTGCTCACCTCTCTTCGTATAAACCCAGGAACAGTGAGTTGGTTTAGTGTCGAGAAGCACAAAACGGTAACTTTGGTGGAATACACGTCAAAAATGGGCACCGATACACTCAGACAAATGGTTAAGAAACACCCGTTTGCCACAATAGTCAAAAGAAGAGCGGATTAGGGTCTTCTAGGCACGTCTCATGAAGAAATACAAGGCCTGTGGGTGGAACTCAAGAGTCTCCCATACCAGAAGTTGGCCAGTATGTTGTGGCTTCAAGCGATTCTGGCCACAACATCAGCAGTTTGGTTAGCAGCGAAAGGTATGGAGATAGCTACCACTTGCCCGAGGTGCATGTGGGGGTGGGAGACTACACTACACCTATGGCTAACTTGTCCAACATTGAGGCGGGTTTGGGACTGGTGGATCCAATACTGGACAAGGKTTACAAAGAACGGTTGACTGGTCAGATGAATGGATCCTGACAAGTTGCAGAAATGGTAAGAGTGAATGAAAATATGTGGCTCAAGCAACCAAAGCAATTATAATGAAGGTAATCAGGGACGATAGAAACAATAAGTTGTTTCGACGTCAATGCATGTCGGATACTCAAATCAAGAAACGTATTATTGCAGACCTACGAAGGATTATTATTTGCAACTGGAATAGACGTACATTTTGAGGAATTAGCCCAAATCAAAGCAAATGGTTCAAGGAGATTTGGGGGAGGAGTTCAAAATTGGTAGTGGTGGATGACAGGGGAAATATTTTTTCTGCTCTTGGTTATTGGCCACCTTGAGTAGTGATGGTTTTTTCCTTGTCGTCAGTTTCTTTCAATTGAGGTTGATACTCCTTTAGGTTTCCTTTCACTTGTACCTGCAGGGCCTTGTATTATTATGCTGGTATGAGATTGGGGAAGTTGGTTTTCTGAGTAGGTGGAGGTTACCAGGCAGGCGTGATAGGGAGTTTAGGTGCAGACCCGGGTGTGTCTAAGCTCCCATCCTTATTCATTAGCTTAAGTGTTATTGTTTGGAGAAGTACTTAGCGGAGGGACAAGTGTGGGGACGCTGGACCCGGTTTCCAGTACTGAGCCGACTCTGGGTAAAGGCCCCAGCCTTCCGCGTAGAATTGTGAGGTCCCCGGCCTCAACTTGTTCATTGATAATAAAGCCTTAATACTTTCTCCAAAAAAAAAAAAAAAAAAAAAAAAAAAAAAAAAAGCCACGTGCAGGGCGGCCTCATTGCTGATAAGCAGGAAATAGGGGTGGGAGAAAGGAAGACTGGACCGTCATTAGCTACACACCTGGCAGCGAAAAGGAGGTGGTTTGGGGGGACCCACAGGGAGATAAACAGAATGTGGGTCATGCGCATACTCCCTCAGCGATTTTCGTGGGGGAGGTAGCTTGCCCCAAAACTCACAGAACATGCAACAATCTGAAGCTCGGGCGAAATACTCCTGCTGGTATTCATCCAGGGGTTCAGCAATGTAGTTCCAACTTTTTTAGTGAGATGGTAGGTTCAAGTTGTGTTTGCAGTCTCACCAGTCAGAACAGCTCTGCACAAAGTGGTTCTGAACCAGGTAGCCAAATGGTTGGTTAAGAATGTGTAATAGTTCCCTGTCGTACAGACCAGAATGGATCTCAGTCTGAGAATCCTGTTGGATGCCAAGTGGTAGGCCCAAGTTGTGACCACAGTAAGCACAGTTCTAACAGACGGAACAACTCTTAGCACGGTGCATGTGGTTGGAATCAGACGAACTGTGGGAGTGCAGTCCCTCACTGAATATTATATTTTCTAATTTAGTAAACACTCAGACAACTGAATAGACGATTACTACTGATGGCACTGCATCAAGGTTAATGCAGACAAAATAGGTAAGTAACGGGAATGGGCACATAATTTTCAGGAATCTCGGGCTGCACACACTGCTCAAACTGAAGTCATCACGCATCTTGAAAAAGACTGCCAGGAAGGTTGCATGGGATCCCAGGGTTAGAGAACCGATAAGAAGAGATTAACGGAGACCCGAGTCTTAGAAGAGAAAAGGTCATAGCCACAGGAAACAAGAAACAACGATCTGTGTCTTTTAAGTTGTATCAATGGGACACTGGACCCGGTTTCCAGCAGGTGCCGCTCCCCACCAATAGATGGAGCAGCCCGACAGATAAATCCTCAATCCTGACGATTCTCTTATCACCACCGGGATAGAGGGTTTACACAAGGGCTATTCGTGGGAAAAAAAAAAAAAAAAAAGGTTACAAGAAGTGGTGTCACAGTTGACCTAAGAAGGAGAGTACTTCTGACTTCCACAACAGGAAGATGGGTTAAAATCTCTCGAAAAATGTTCCTCGCTCATTAAACGGGACTTAGAGGCAGTGGAAAGGAGAGAAGGGGTAATAGGGGAAGAAGGAGAGGAAAAGGTAAAACACAAGTTTGAACAGTCGATGGGCAAGGAAACACTTTTGACTCATACAAATCAAAGTGTAGAACTCAGAGGACGTTATCGACCCCAGTGAAGACATGAACTTACAACGAATGGAGGAACAAAATGAATCGTCTACTGAACTTTCTGCACTTGTGTGCCCACCGGTGGAGGGACCTACCAGCGATTCGCCAGAAGATTTGCTCCAAGCTGGACACAGAGCAAGGAAACCCCCCCCCNACAATGCAATTTTTTTTTTTTTTTTTTGGCTTACAGAAAGCAGTAGAGGACAAAGAAATACGATTTTGGGGGGACCTTCAGAGGTCCCTGCAAAATATGTAAGCCCGCGGCTGTCCAAGCCACTAACATTTACGTGCCTTTTTGTGTGAACATGTAAAATACGTGCCTCTTGTGACCAGAAAAACTACATAAAATTTACGATTTTGCGAAAAAATGAGGTAGCGTGAAAAGCAARAAAAAAAAAAAAAAAAAAACAATTCGACTCGTCGGGGGATGGACGCGATCCGATGAAGCGCTCCGCTACCAGGCGCACTCACTGTCCGGAGACAACAACGCTCTACGTCGGCAGCGAGGGTGGGATTCGCGGTGTGGGGCGGAACGATGTCTTCTTCGACGATCCCTACGTTCGACCATCGCCCTCAGCTTCGACAAGGGGCTGTCTCCCTGTGGAATACCAGGGCGCAAGGCGATTCCAACTCCTACTACAACAAAATCTACAAGAGTCAAGTAACAAGTGCAGTGTGAACACGACGAAGGGAGAGAGAGTCTAGTACGGGACAACGGGCACATCCAACAGTGGCACCTCTGGAGGCAGAGGGTGGGCAGCCAGTGGTGGTGGGACTGGTGTTGTGAGAAGCACGTGAAAACTACGATTGACTATCTGGACTGGGAGCGTGAAGACCTGAAACTCAACGGGCGGCGGCGCCACCAATGGGAGTGGGAGTTCCTCTGGTGGTGGTGGGAGCGTCTCCGTTGGAATCAAAGGCGTTGAGCATTAACCAAGCCACTCTCTAGCACAAAATATTTAAAGTGCATTAACCTAGCCATAATTTTTGCTAAATACTCCTAACGAGTGGCTTACTTCATGACTGTCCTTCATGATAATATTTGGAAATACTTTCCTCATTTTTCAAGCTCGTCTTGCTATGTGCTTTGTTGTCAGTGACAACCTTGATCGTATTTAGTCATTAGTATTCTGTATCAAGGCATATGTTTCGTTTGGTGCACTCTTCCTTTGTTATTCTTATATGCAAACCCTCGTATAGTGCAATATTTTACTCATACTCTGCATTGGGTCGTAAGGTTGGATTCAGGCAACCCTCCATCCCTATTCCCATATCTGAGCCCTCGTACAACATAGAAATTCCAAAATTTGCTCGTAACGTTTATCTCACCTAATCTCAACTAACCTAGAGGCTATTTCAAGGAATCTTCACTGAGGGTTCTGGACTTCAGCTTTGGTTGGTAAATGTGGAAGGTTGGGGGTTGTTCGTAGAAGGGAATGGAACTATTGAAGGTGGAAGGAGACCTAATAGTTGTGGGAACGTTGCTGACCTGTAGCGAACTGTTTTTTGCACCCGCTCAGATTTCTGCGCGAGGCTGTATCTGGGGGAGGAGGGGGGGGATGGGGGGATTGGCTGAGTCGGAATGGCCTGGCGGTTTGCATGGATGCCCCTGCTTTTTCTTATCTCTTTCAACTGAAGGCTGGTCTAGACCCACGACGGTTGATAGTTGATCGCACCTCAGCAAGCGCGACGAATAGACAGTTGTTATAACTTCTTTCTTGTTTTGCTGTAGGAAATGAGAATTTTGGCACGATTGTCGCGCCGGGAATTTTTTTTTAATTTTCAAGTGATGTAGAGCCCCTGCGGCCTCTCGGAATTTGCTTTGTTCGGATTTTTTTTTTGTAATTGGGACTTAACATAGGAATTTAGGCGGATCTCAATTTTTGTTGCGTGGTGCTTCCTGTTTGCGCACATCCGGCCACGTCGAAAACTGTGTTCTGGCTTTCCTGCGCCTTAATATCGTGTGTAATTGTAATATTTGTTTTGGCTGGCGTGATCGCAACTGTAATCCTCTCATTCTTAATATCTTTTGTGGAGCCCTTGCGTGCGAATGCCTCTCCTCCCTCCTATTGGCCTGAACGCTTGCATGACCGGATCGGTGTGTGGAGTATGGTTACATCCCCCACGCCGCGGCCTGGCCATGTAGGCGTAGGCACTTCCTTTCTCCTTCCTCCCACCAAAACATGATCCCGAGTATCTCGCGCGAAGCATGCATTCTATAAATCTCTCAAGCACGATTAATTTCACTCTCTAAGACCTTTTGGAGTTAGCATGGTCGAGAGGATCGGCTAACGAGCAGGAGTTGGCAGGTGAGTAGAGAGTTGGGCGATCCGACGACCTGGTTTTGGGCGTGCGGGGTTGATGTGGGGCCGCGACGGACTGTAGCGCATGGGCGAACCTGACGGGCATGGTCGGGCCCAGCGGAGTGACAACTCAGCATAGGTGCGAGGCGAGGGACTGCCCACATCGGGATGTTGTGAGAGAGAGAGAGAGAGAGAGAGAGAGAGAGAGAGAGAGAGAGAGAGAGAGAGAGAGAGAGAGAGAGAGAGAGAG